TTCAGCTGCTATTTGCTTTTCTGTCATCTCGGTTTGTTGTTACTGTCAGCAGTACAAGTCTGTACAAGGCTCCGCCCACAAACCTACTTCTACTATGTTCCCACACGATGATTCTCCATAAATATATAAAAACATGATACAAAACTGAACACAACAACTTAGAAAAACAAACCTGATGTTTTGTTAGTGGGATGCACGCTGATTGTGTTGTGATAGCGCTCTGAAGGGGGAGTGACTTAACATAGCGAGCAAAGAAAGGAACAGTCAAAACATCAAAAACTAAAGTGAAACCTCTAATACATATGAACATGTTTTTTGTGGGCCACTTTTACATGATGTTTGTTAATTCAAAATGAATTGTTCTGATTTAAATTGTTCAGAATTAAAATATTCTCCTTGGAGTTTGGCAGTTGTAATTAGGCCTGTAACGATAATCAATAAATCGATTAATCGTACGATAACTTTTAACAAGCTTAATAACTTTTCCAGCCACGATAAATTCTATTTGCAACTTGTTTGTTTTCCTCGCTCTCTCTCTCGCTCTCAAAGAGACTGAATGTCAGACGCTTCTATCGCTCTCTGACTCCTCTCCTTTAAAAAACGTAAAGATGCTTTAATCAACGTGCGTGTTTAATGTGTTTATCATAGGGACGGGCATTCGATGAAATTTTCTTAATCGATCGTCGGAAGAATTAACGATTGATTATCGATTAATCATTAACGTTTAAAATGATCATCATTATTATTACTATCTGCACTACTAATCTGCATAAATAAATTCAACTTTACGACATATAAACCGTAACCACTCTAGAGCCACATCAGCCCGTTTGACATTAGAATGTGTTTAATTCAGTTTTGCGCAACTCTCACAGAAACAAAACTTAAAACCGCATCACAAATTTGCATAAACTAGGTGAACATTGAGCTACTCTCACCTGGCAAAACTTTTTCCCACTGGACACTGAAACATATGTGCTGCTTTATACACTGTGCACATGGACTCACACTGAACGCAACGGAAAAGAGTGGAATTTCTTGTACAAATCATCGTTAAATACACATTTGTGCTTCTGCACGTTGCAGACTGACCCACTGTTTGTGTCTCGCTCCTTCTGATGCAGAGACACATGTACACACCTGTTTGGTCACACTACACACAGCAACCTACATTCTGTTTGTCGATTAAAATGAACATAATCAATGAAATTCTTAATGATCAATTATCGATTAATTGATAATCATGCCCATTCCTAGTTTATCAACAGAGCGGATGCACACGTAGTCTGCGCACTTTCTGCAAGTGCAAATGCACTAACAACACAAGCTAACGCCACAGTCAGAGTGACAAAACTGTTCATCTCCATTCATCGCCAAAACAAGTCATGATGCCGAATCAACACTGGTGAGTGTGATACGTCTCAACACACACATGCGTCAAATGCAGCAAGCGAAACGCAAACGACGAGAAGAAATGTCTCAAACCCAAACCCGAGCGACACAACTAGCCTAGCCCCCGGGAGAACCTGAAATCCCGAAACTGAACCGACACGACACCAGACAGAACAGAGGCTCCCTCAGAGCGAAACAGCATCCTGTGTCTCGGGTTAATACAAACACTTCAACACCAAAACGACGAGGCAACAGCAGCAGCCACAGAGAGACGAGACATAATATTCCAATGACTAAAATCACTTTTACAAAGGCTTAATAATCCATTTTATTTATTGTTTTGGTTGTATTTGGTTCAACAGTGGTTTATTCAGGTACATTTTTGTGAACAAGTCCTCGCTGTGAGTCAGACACATTAGACTTAGTCCTGTGTTAAGTCTGTTTCATTTAGGCCTGTTGTTTTTGTTTGTCTTGCAGTTCCTGTGGTAAATGTTCTTTAGAAAGTCAAGTTTATTGATCATTGAGAGGATGTATTTACATTTTCATTCCATGGTCATTATATTAGTTGAAATTGGTCTCAAAATGTCAATATTATCATTTATCAGAATAAATTCTTGGTCAATTCATCGATCAGCAAAATTTGTTATGGTTACAGGCCTAGTTGTGATCTAAATGTTGTGTTACGGTTAATCTCCTCCTACAGATTTGTAAACCTGGTTTAGGTTTCATATCTCTGTAAATCCTGGGCCTATCCATAAGAAATAAAAACTGGCACACAGTTCAGTGTGTTTTCTCTGTCAGGAGAAATAAACTAAAGTGAAAATATTTTTTCTCAGTAGCTTCAGATGAGGTTCTTTTTAGCTGTAAGGACTTTACTTTACGTTTATTTCCTTCATAAACAGAGCTTCTCTCAGAGTTACACTGGCTCCTTCTCCATCTGAATTTATGACACCATATTCTGGAAACATTGTTAAACTGGACAGAGGCACAGATTCAACTGATGTTCGGTCGAAGTGCTGTTTTGGGATGTAGGCGCTGCTCTGTCTGAGGCTTTGTTAGACTTTAATCTGAGCTTTGTTTGAACACGATCTGATCAGAAAGAGAAAAACGTTACCGTCAAAGTGAGCCAGCAGTGTATCATTTAGTCACTCTCACCTTTTAGTTGAAAATTAAACTCTTAAAAAGGACCTTCAACGCTCAGACTTATCACAGGCTCCACAAAATGTGCTCTTTAAATCCATGATTTTTTATGTTTTTCCTATACACAGATTGTTGGCAGTGTTTGCTAATGTGTGCATTGTGTCTCCACGGTAACTGCTGAACATACCACCACACGTAACACTTTATAATAACTACACCTTATTTAGCCTTAATAAAGCCTGAACAAAGACTTAATTAATAATGATTCATGCTTAGTAACTACTTAATTACTACCTGAATTAGCACTTAACTTGCACTTAATTCGCCTGTGCTGTAAATAGTTACTCATAAGTATTTCTTACTTAATTACTCATGAACTAACCATTTGTGTGTGCATTTGTAAATGTATATTTAAGTATAAATTTGAGCATTTATTAATGATTAATAAGCCATGAGAGAATGATTTACTAGTAATGCATTATTGTTTCTCTGGAATTTGACCAACCTTAACAAATGCTTAATAAACATAATTAATCTTCACTTTAGAAAAACTCTCAGAAAGACTTAACTAACAGATAACAGCTGCCTGAATGATCATTGCATTGTGTATTAATAAATCATTCTCTCATGGCTTACTAATCATTAATAAATGCTCAGATGTGTACTTAAATATGTATTTGTAAACATGCAAATGGTTAGTTCATGAGTAATTAAGAAGTATTGAGTAACTATTTACAGCACCGGTGAATTAAATTAAGTGCTAATTCAGGTAGTAATTAAGTAGTTACTAAGCGTGAATCATTATTAATTAAGTCTTTGTTCAGGCTTTATTAAGGCTAAATAAGGTGTAGTTATTATAAAGTGTTACCCCACCACGCACATAAATGTTGCACACCCCCAAAGTGATGTCGCTGTAAAACATTTATTGATCACATTGTACTTTTCTCATTAAAATCTTCAAAAGGTAAATTCACAAATGTTGAACCTGATCGTTTTTATTATAGTTGATCATTCGTACGCACCAGTGTTCACCCAAGGACATATTAATGAAGAAAAGTGACGTGTCTCGCCCAAGGACACAACAATAATATGCCGTTGGAGTAGGTTTCTCCAATCTTTGTCCTTCGGTGAGCTCCTTTACAAAACAAAAACGCCACAGAGCTGCTCATTTTAGCGGTCGCGAGAAACTGAGATGAGAGCACAGACGGGTGTGACAATGATGCTTCGACAACAGTAGGAGGTGTTTTATTTATCAGATTTTAGTTTGAGTCACCGCTGCTCCGCTGTGGCCCCTGGTGTTCTCCGAGGGGCCCTGTCTGAGCGCCGCCCAGGCCCACTCCTGCTGCGCTCCAGATCAGACCCCATCTCGTTCTCTCGGCGTTTGTAGTCTTGTTGTCTCATCTTAAATCACACACTTTTGTGATGGAATGTTTTTTTCAGGCGATTGGTTTCATCAAGAGCAGAGTCTGAGCTGTTTTTAGACGCGAGCTGGAGTCAAACACTGAACTCACACTCGTGTATCTGGACACAGACACGAGCGCTGATGTTCACAGTTTGTGGAGCTCAGGTCAGAAGTCTGAGGAGGTTTCTGAGCTGGAAATATTTGTTGTTGAAGTAAAATAAAACATAAAAACATAAATACATTTTTTTTTAAAAAAGCTCCTGAACACACCTGAGGAGAGAGGTTTTGGAAAAATGTTTTCATTATAATTCTTCTTTATTTCCATGATTATTCACACTGTCCATTGTGACTCTGACACGTGTGGAATCAAAGTAATAAAAGATCAACTCAAAATAACTCCTGACTTGCATTAGACTTTTAAAAATGGGTGAGCTTTGTTTTGATCAGAGCATTTGACCCTGACATGACACAGCTGAGAAGTGAAAACCATTTCAGGAGACTTCATGATGGAGCTCACTGAGAGAAGGACCAGGGTTTACAGATCTGTCCACAAAGTCAAGAGAGGAGACTCTGAGGATTTCAGTATAAGATATTAAACATATCTATTTAGTCACTGAACTTTTTTTTTTTTTTTTGCTTCATAATTGCATGTGTCCTGCTTCATATTGTTGTCCTCGTGTGTCTCAAATGTACAAAGTGGTCAACTTCAAGAAAAACACACACATACAAAAAGAAGCAGTGTCACACAGAGACATGTTTAAAGCCCCCCCCCCTCTCTCTCTCTCTCTCACAGTCGTGTGTGTCTTTTCACACTGGACTTTATCAGTTTTATCGGGCAGAGGGCCAGAGCCTCCTGTGGGATTCTTGTCTCTTTTCTCTCTTCTATTCCTCGTTTCCTCGTCTGTGTAAACCTGATGCCCTCACAGATCCCAAACTAAAGATGATAAACCATCAAACTCTAATATGTGTTCAGTGCTTTCTGTGTGTGTGTGTGTGTGTGTGTGTGCTCGTGAAGGGGGGGGGGGGGGGTTCTTATGTGTGCATATGCTTATGCATATGTTTGTAGGTGGGGGTCCGAGGGGCCCCTCTGCGGTCTCCATGTTAGATCCTCATGTGTATATGTTGTGTTTTTCAGGTGGGGGTCCGAGGGGCCCCTCTGCGGTCTCCATGTTATATCCTCATGTGTGTATATGTTGTGTTTTTCAGGTGGGGGTCCGAGGGGCCCCTCTGCGGTCTCCATGCGGAGCAGTGGAAGATGCCCTCTCTCTCTCTGTGGATGTGCCTCGTGCTGCTGACCACGGCCCCGCCCTCCAGGGGCCAGAGCGCCAGCGGCCTGCGCATGGGTGAGTCTGACAGCCAATCACAGAGCAGCAAACACCTCACCCACCAATCACAGAGCAGCAAACACCTCACCAACCAATCACAGAGCAGCATACACCTCACCAACCAATCACAGAGCAGCAAACACCTCACTCACCAATCACAGAGCAGCAAACACCTCACCAACCAATCACAGAGCAGCAAACACCTCACCAACCAATCACAGAGCAGAGCACACACCTCACCCACCAATCACAGAGCAGAACACACCTCACCCACCAATCACAGAGCAGTATTTGTTTGTGTTCCTCAGAGAGACTCAGAGGCGTCTGAACCTGAAACAAAACCAGTTTTCTCTTCAACATTTTATTTCAATTGATTTCTCCTCCTCTGCTCTCCTCTTCTCTCTGTCCTCTGTATATTCTGTTTCTCTTGATTCTCCTCTCCTCCTCTTTCTCCCCTTCTCCTCCTCTTCTCTCTCTCCTCTGTATATTTATTTTCCTCTCGCCTTCTCTCTCCCTCTCTTCTTCTTCTTCTTCTTCTTCTTCTTCTTCCTCGTCTTGTGTTTGCGTTGCAGTTTGATGTATGGTCTTGTTTTCTCTTTCACATTATATTTAAATGTATTCTCTCCATTTTCTCTCCACGCGCCGCAGCCTTCACTCGTCTGTCTGATGTATCTGCACTTTATCCCCTAAAACACAACACCTCTGTCTTTCTCTCTCTCTCTCTCTCTCTCTCTGTAACATCTCTCCCTCCTTCCACCAACTCGCTCTCTCCTCTTTCTCCCCTATGTCTCTCTCCCTTATGTCTCTTTCCTCCCTCTCCCTTTCTCCTCTCCATCTCCCCCTGTCCCTTTATCTCTCTATCCTCTCCCTCTTCATCTCTCCCTCTTCCTCTCTTTTTCCTCTCCTCTCTGCCCCCCCCCTCCTACTTTCTTCTCTCTCCCTCTCACGGCCCTCCTCTGCCCCTCACATCTCTCTCTCCTCCTTTCTCCCTCTTTCCTCTTCTTCTCTCTCTTTCTCCCTCACTCTTTCCTCTCTCTGCTCTGTGAGGACTCTTTTTTCTAAACCGGTGCCTGAAGACCTCTCTCTCTCTCTGTCTTTTCCTCTTTCCCTCCCTCCCCCTGCCTTCTCTCCATCTCCTCCTCTCTCCTCTCTCTCCTTCTCCTCTCCTCTCCCTCTTTCCCGCTCTCCTCTCTCCCCCTGTCCCTCTGTCTCTCTCCTCTCTCTCTTCATCTCTCCCCCTTCCTCTCTTTTTCCTTTCCTCTCTCCCTGTATCTCTCTCTTTCCTCTCCTCTCTGTCTCCCCCTCTCTCTCTTTCTCCCTCCTGCCACCTCTCTCTCCCCTTCTCTTTCTTCTCTCTCCCTCTCACTGCCTTCCTCTGCTCCTCACATCTCTATCTCTCCTCTATCCCTCTATCACTCTCCTCTATCCCTCTATCTCTCTCTTCTGTCCTCTTCTCTTCTCTCTCTCACTCTCTCTCTCTCTCTCTCATTTCTCCCCCTTTCTTTTGTTCCTCTCTCTCTTTATCTCTCTCTGTCCTCTCCTTCTCCCTCTCCTCTCTCTCCTCTCTTCTTCCCTGTGCTCTGTTCTTCCTTTCATCAGTCAGGATGTATAAACGGTGTGATCAGAGAGTCGAGTGCGTGACTCCGCCCCCTCCGTCCGACACACTGTTCCCTGAGCTCCGCCCACACGCCGGGGGCCCCTAACCGTCCAATTACACTGAGAATACACATGAGGGAGATCCGTCTGTCTGCTCAGGGCCCCGTCTGTCTGCTCAGGGCCCCGTCTGTCTGTTGCTCATTTGTATCTCGGGTCCCTCAAATGCAGGAGACACGTTCTCTCCAAACCCCTGGTGACTTTCAGTGTAAAGGTCGAGTTATTTCTGTTACTTCATACACAGTCCGTGACATTTACTCGTACAGTTACATGCTTTTATTTTGGTGACTTCCTGTGTGAGAGGAAGTGACGGCAAAACAAAATGAGCTTGAAATACAGAAAAAGACACAAAGTGAAGTAAACTACAGCGAACGGTGAAAAACAGAGAAAAAAATGTGCAGGAGGAGAAGAGCAGAGGAGAGGAAAAGAGCAGAGGAGAAGAGAGAGAAGAGGAGAGGAGCAGAGGAGAGGAGAAGAGGAGAAGAGGAGGAGAGGAGAAGAGGAGAGGAGAGGAGAAGAGGAGAGGAGGAGAGGAGACGAGGAAAGGAGAAGAGAAGAAGAGGAGAAGAGGAGAGGAGGAGCAGAGGAGAAGAGGAGAGGAGAAGAGGAAGGAGAGGAGGGAGAGGAGGAGAAAAGTAGAGGAGAGGAGAAGAGGAGAGGAGAAAGGGAGAGGAGCAGAGGATGTGCAGACTTCTACTCACATAAACTGAACAGCTGAAAGGTCTGAGGCTGCAGGTGAAATTCAAACGGACAGCAGACACTGGAGGCCGTTTGTGTTTGTGTTTACATGTTTGTGAGCTCATTTACATATGCGCATACATTACACGCTTTTATGGAGAGGAATAAACAACTCTGGTCCTGTCTGTATGCAAATGTGAGATCTGAGGAGCACACACATGCCTGTTTTGGGTTTATTTCCTTTATAAATTCTTTATAATGTTGTTTCCTCATCACATACTTACATAGTTTTTTTTTTTATTCACACATTTAACACACAAACCCTGCGTATTTACTCTGAGTTCTTCTCTCAAACAGAAAACTGTGTTTTCAAACTCCACACACACCTTCACTAGAATCATGTGGATGATTTCAGACCTGGGATTGTCAATCTCTACTTAAGAGAAAAGATAAAAGGAGCTGAAACTTACTGCTGCACGACATCTGTTACAGTTTAAATGTGTCCCGCCCAAACATGTGTGCATGTTTGAGGAGCAGTGCAGTTCTGTTCTGCTCCATTTCAAACGCAGAGCTGTGATTGGGATCTGCGTTTTTCTCTGCAGCGTCCACTCAAAACAGATGAAAACAGGGATTTTACAGCTGTTCAGCTTTCTCACAGACACAAGAAGAACCTTACAGCTGTTCAGCTTTCTCACAGACACAAGAAGAACCTTATAGCTGTTCAGATTTCTCACAGACACAAGAAGAACCTTACAGCTGTTTATTTCCCCCTCAGACACAAGAACCTTACAGCTAATCAGTTTTCACACAGCAGACACAAGAAGAACCTTACATATGTTCAGTTTCCCCTCAGCACAAGAAGAACCTTACAGATGTTCAGTTTCCACACAGGAGACACAAGAAGAACCTTACAGCTGATCAGTTTTCTCACACACAAGAGATAAACAGTTACAAATGATCTTTATAAATGATAGATTCAAGTGACATCATGCTGGGGGTGTTCTACATGTGTACCTATGGCGGAATGTTTGGGAGTTACCATGGAAACACATTGCACACTTTAGCAAATGCTGAAAAAAATTAATTACAAAAGTGATTTGAAGAGCACATTTTCAGGAGCCTGTGATCAGTCTGAGTTTTCATCGTCCTGTTTAGGAGTTTGATTTTCATGTGACTCACAAAGCACAGGGTCTAAACATGACCTCCCCTCACTGGGCTGAGCTCAGTGTCACAGTCTCCTGATTGGCCTCGCCCAGTGAGGTACTTCCAGTGCCTCTACAAATTGAACATGTGCAGTAGAGCTCTTCTGTCACACAGACACATGTGACACAGACCAGAGCAGGAGCAGGACTCTCCAACCTGTAGCAACCTGTAACCTGCAGCCACCTGTAAGTGCAAGCAGCTCACCAAGGGATTTACCTCTGAATTATACATACTGTGGATAATAAGTAACATTTGATGAATTGTAAATGTGTTACTTATGTAAATGTTTTATTTTGATGCATAACTTGATGCACTGATAAATGGATGATGGTTTATGTTTTATAAGTATCTGACTCTTCCCCATCCAAGTTTCACCGAGGCTCTTATATTTACTCAGTTTCTTTGCGACTGCTGAAATTGGCAGCTCTCTGGCATTTTTGTTTCGTAAAGGAGCTCACTGGAGAAAAAAAAAAAAGTGTGTGGAGACAGCGACGTGAGAGCGACGCTCGAGCAGAGCGGAGACGGAGCTCACCATTAAAAAGCAGTTTTTACAGAAATGAAGGATTTTGAGCTGAGAAAATATTTCTGATCCAAACATGGGTAAAAATCACCACAAAATCTGACAACATTTTTGAAAGATGTAGGTTCCTGTCAGCTCCTGTCAGCCCCTGTCAGTCCCTGTCATCCAAACACGAGCAGTTTGTGATTCAATCTCTCTGTTGGGAAAGGGATTTTAGTACCAGTGAGTGTCCACTTCACGACACTACAGCTCGAAGCAGCAATACTCCATCCACTTCTTTAGATCTAGGATTTAATGGCACAGATCAGCTCATCTGTTCTACTTCCAGATCTGTCAGATACGGAAGCCGAGAGGGTCACAACAAACGCAAACGCCGCAACAAATACAAATGCGACAACACAACAAAAAGCCACAACAGAAATGACTGCGGGGACTCTATTCTAATGCAAATGCTGCAAAAAACACAGACACCACAACACAAATGCAAATGCCACAAAGCATTAAAAAGCCACAACACATTAAAAAGCCACAATGGAAGTGATCGTGGGATTCTTTTTTCCGACGGATCAATCAAGCGGCAAGTGAAGAACTACAACGTGAAACAAATAATGATAAAACAATAAATTACTTTTACTTATGTTTCCAACTTCTCCGTTCCTTTACTTTTCACGTTGTAGTTCTTCTTCACTTGCCGCTTGAAAATAGAGTCCCGCGGTCACTTCTGTTGTGGCTTTTTAATGAGTTGCGGCATTTGCGTTTGTGTTGTGGCATTTGCGTTTGTGTTGTGGTGTTTGTATTTGTTGCGGTGTTTGCATTAAAGTAAGAGTCCCGCGGTCATTTCCGTTGTGGCTTTTTGTTGTGTTGTCACACTTGCATTTGTCGCGGTGTTTGCGTTTGTTGTGACGCCTCTTGGCTTCCGTAGTCAGACCTTTTTATTCAGGTTGTGTTAAAACAAATATCAGATTAAAGCGTCAGACAGAGCAGTACCTACAGTTAGCGCCACACCCCGGTGAACGTTGTCGACATCAGCTGCAGAATGTCGGTTCGTGTGGCGTGATCCGTCCCCCCGCTCCCGCTCCTGTCGTCCTTGCAGCTGTTTGTATTTGTGCTGCTTTAAAACACAAACGTATGGAAATAAATTCTGCAGGAGTCACATTTCTTTGTCCCGGAGCTCGGTCCCTGCGGCGCTCGGCTCCACGTCGCCCGCGCTCTCCCGTCCTGTCGGAGTTTTATATTTACTCGGAGTTTGTGTGAGGACAGAGACGCACCCACTGTTTGTCATTTCAATCTCCGCTCTGTTAGCGTAGCATTTCCCTGAGCCGCATTAGCATAGCTCCTCATAAAAAGTCGGGGCATAAAATAAAGGCCACGTTGTTTCCACGACGACCGGCTGTAAATATGAACATACACATTTACATTTAGATACGACTCCATTTAGGATTTATTGACACTCCACTCTTTATGGAGCTGACTCTGCATTATGAAAGACACTTAAAGCAGCACTGTGTAACTTTACTGGTGGAGGGTCTGCAGCGACTTGTCTCCACTGAGATGATCATTTACTTTACCAGAATGTTCCAGGGTATGGCATTAATGTATCTATTAGGGTGGTCCGTCAAAGCGTGGTAAAATAAAATAAAGTTTCAGATAAAGTCGATTAGAACCTGCATTAGGTTTTAGCACCAAAAAACGATTTAAGAAGAAATGTGGAAAGAAAAAGGAGAAGTTTTAGAGGTTTCTCAAACTGTATGAGGTTTCTGCATGAAGTTTGGAAGCTCCTGCTGATGATTTGGTTTTCCTTAAGATGCTTCACAGTCTGAACATTCATTTGTGAAGAAAACACCTGAACAGCTCTGGGCAACATCTTTGGTTGAGTGAAGAAATATTGGTAACAGTTTATAATAACTACACCTTATTTAGCCTTAATAAAGTATGAACAAAGACTTAATTAATAATGATTCATGCTTAGTAACTACTTAATTACTACCTGAATTAGCACTTAACTTGTGCTTAATTCTCCTTTGCTGTAAATAGTTACTCATAAGTATTTCTTACTTAATTACTCATGAACTAACCATTTGTGTGTGCATTTGTAAATTAGGGTCCAGTCAAGTGGTAACGGAGGGAAACAGGGGCAGATTTGTGACATTCAAATGTCTCTTATTCAGAAACTAGAGGGACTATTGAAATAAGTAAAGTATCAGAATGTAGGAAAGAGTTACACTCCAACAGGGTCAAGTTAAACCTGTGATTTTCTTTCAAGTTGTTGACAAAAAATTTAAAAACTCATGTTGGTAACGGAGGGAATGAAATATGCAGCACTTTTTGGGCAATAAATCCAAACAGTGATAACTCTTGGTTCTCACTTCCATATCCTTAACAAACTGGTTTGAATATTTGCTTCATATAGTTTTCTACCATATGGTACAAGATTAGGTTGAAAAACCTCTTACTTTTTGACTCATGAGATTTTTTATTAAGAAAGGTCATGGTAACGGAGGGAAAATTGTGCAAACAAGTAGAAGGTGCAGGATTTTGCATCATTTGTCGCTTTTTTTCTTCCAAACACTTTAATATTACTTCAAAATGAAAGGAAACTATTTCTATAAAATATGTCAGTCCTTCCAAGCAAATTTTTATCATTTTAAATACTTTTTTTTAAAATCATGTACCTTCATCAACAGTTCAAAGATGGAATAACACAAGATATAATGAAATACATCCATTTATTGACATGATTTGCAGGTCTTTGAAATTTGGGAAATTATTTTTGTTCCATGTTTCATACATGGTCTGTTTAAAACGTATGGAACTTTAGAACCAAAAATGGTGCAGAAAAAAGGTCAACAGTTTCATAAACTAGAGTACATATGTATCTGTTCAATACATTTTTATATCAGATGCATTAACTTGAAATTTTGACCTTGCTGTTTACTTCTGCTTGACCAGGCCCTCTTATATTTAAGTACAAATTTGAGCATTTATTAATGATTAATAAGCCATGAGAGAATGATTTACTAGTAATGCATTATTGTTTCTCTGGAATTTGACCAACCTTAACAAATGCTTAACAAACATAATTAGTCTTCACTTTAGAAAAGCTCTCAGAAAGACTTAACTAACAGATAACAGCTGCCTGAATGATCATTGTATTGTGTATTAATAAATCATTCTCTCATATCTTACTAATCATTAATAAATGCTCAAATGTGTACTTAAATATACATTTGTAAACATGCAAATGGATAGTTGATGAGTAATTAAGAAATAAGTATGAGTAACTATTTACAGCACAGGGGAAGTAAGTGCTAATTAAGTGCTAATTCAAGTAGTAATTAAGTAGTTACTAAGCATGAATCATTATTAATTAAGCCTTTGTTCATGCTTTATTAACGCTAAATAAGGTGTAGTTACTATAAAGTGTTACCGAAATATTTGTCCTGCATTTTTCGCTCCAGTGTGACAGAAGAAAAGAAGAAGCTGATGGTTCACAATATGATGGAAAAGGAAGGTTCAGAGGTTCCACCAAAGACATGTGATGCTCTTAATCCTGCAGATTATGAAAAGAACAGATCAGGGATTTTGTCTCCACCAGAACCATGCCTTTCTTCAAAGCTCTTGATGTGCCAAAAAAAAAAAACTTAAACATTTGAACATTGGGCTGATGATGCAGATTTTCAGAACGCTGCTAAAAATGTGAATTCCTGAAAGGTTGTCAGTGATGTTGACAACTTGAAGATTTTGAACAAAGAATAAAGATCAGAAACAGGATCTACTGCAGGTGTCATAGACACAGGCCACAGTGGAGCTTGACTTTCTAAGTCACTTTTATGAACTTTTTGGACCTTCTAAGTCAAGCTTCGTTTATAGGATGACGTCTGAACAGAAGATGCAAAAGTGGCGTCACGTCTTCACTTTGTATTTCTCGTTCAAACAAGCATTTTTGGGAGTAAATCTGTGTGCATATGGTGACGCAAAAGTGTGTGGAATTGGACTGGGTGTGAATGCCAGGAGGCTCGGTGCTGACACTAGGTGGTGCTGTGATGTGAGGTCAGAGTTTTGTGTCTTGGGCAGTGTCGATGGAAACACTACGGCGGAGTGGATTCAACTTTTCCACTCTGGAGGCTGGTTTCAGATTTTTGCATTTTTAAATCCCAAAAACATTGTCACCGTCTAAATGTAAGACACTTCCCATAAAATATTTAGTCATTTTTACTCACAGGTGTTCTCGTGTAAACAGACCCTAATGTTTATGCAAGTTTCAGTTGGAGTTGCAGAATAAAATGAGACATTATTGGACATCGCCTTGTTTATTTGTTTCACTGTGTTATAGTGAACTAAATATGAATTAATTTGCATAAAATTTAGACCCAAATATTTTGGCCAGATATGGAACCAAATGCAGGGTTCTCATCTAGAGAAATAAATATAATAAAAATAATAATAATAATAAATAAATAAAATAAATAAAGTGAACCCACTCACGAGAAGAATGAGTTTTTACGAAGTATTTTTGAGCAGTAAAAATGTCAGATACAGATGTTTAGTGACAGACAACAGAACATTTCAGACAATATCACCATGGAGACGAAAAATAGGTGTGGGTGTGTGTGTGCAGGAGTGTGTGTGCGTGTGCGTGTAGGTGTGGGTGTGTGCCTGTGTGTGCACCTCTGTGTGGGTGTGTGTGTGCAGGGGTGTGTGTGTGTGTGTGTGTGTGCGTGTGTGTGTGTGTGTGTAGGTGTGTGTGTGTGTTGCAGCGGCCATCTGATCAACTCCACAGTGTTAAATACAGACAGATATTTAACTCCCTCTTGTTGTTGTTTGGTTTGATCTGTCACAGCCGCCATCTTGGACGAGCTCCTCTCATTACTCCACACTGCCTCTTCTTCTTCTGGTGTTTGTGTGTGGTGTTGAGGCGTCCACGTTGGGCGAGCAGGTGTCGGGGTGTGGCTCCTCTGATGAGCTCAGATGAACATAAACTGCATCTCCACACAAAGACGTAGATAGAAACTGTAAGTAACTCTCTCTTCTTCTTCTTCTGCTGGTGTTTGTGTTGGCATCACAGCGGCCATCTTGGACGAGCAGGCGTCGTGGTGTGGGCGGGGCGAGCGGCTCGCCCTCACACTGGCGAGAGAGAGCGTCAATGAACAGCTGCAAGGTTCAGCGCGAGGGAGAGTCGAGGTGGACGTGTTCGACCTGCAGAGAGACTCACAGTACCACACCACCGAGACCAGTGAGTACTACTACTACTACTACTACTACTACTACTACTACTACTACTACTACTACTACTACTACTACTACTACTACTACTGCAGTACCACACCACCGAGACCAGTGAGTACTACTACTACTACTACTACTACTACTACTACTACTACTACTACTACTACTACTACTACTACTACTACTACTACTGCAGTACCACACCACCGAGACCAGTGAGTACTACTACTACTACTACTACTACTACTACTACTACTACTACTACTACTACTACTACTACTACTGCAGTACCACACCACCGAGACCAGTGAGTACTACTACTACTACTACTACTACTACTACTACTACTACTACTACTACTACTACTGCAGTACCACACCACCGAGACCAGTGAGTACTACTACTACTACTACTACTACTACTACTACTACTACTACTACTACTACTACTGCTAGTACCACCACACCACCGAGACCAGTGAGTACTACTACTACTACTACTACTACTACTACTACTACTACTACTACTACTACTACTGCAGTACCACACCACCGAGACCAGTGAGTACTACTACTACTACTACTACTACTACTACTACTACTACTACTACTACTACTACTGCAGTACCACACCACCGAGACCAGTGAGTACTACTACTACTACTACTACTACTACTACTACTACTACTACTACTACTACTACTGCAGTACCACACCACCGAGACCAGTGAGTACTACTACTACTACTACTACTACTACTACTACTACTACTACTACTGCAGTACCACTACCTAGACCAGTGAGTACTACTACTACTACTACTACTACTACTACTACTACTACTACTACTACTGCAGTACCACACCACCAGAGTACTACTACTACTACTACTACTACTACTACTACTACTACTACTACTACTACTACTACTACTACTACTACTACTGCAGTACCACACCACCGAGACCAGTGAGTACTACTACTACTACTACTACTACTACTACTACTACTACTACTACTACTACTACTACTACTACTGCTAGTACCACACCACCGAGTACCAGTGAGTACTACTACTACTACTACTACTACTACTACTACTACTACTACTACTACTGCAGTACCACACCACCACCTGTGAGTACTACTACTACTGAGTACTACTACTACTACTACTACTACTACTACTACTACTACTACTACTACTACTACTAAGCAGTACCACACCATACTACTACTACTACTACTACTACTACTACTACTACTACTACTACTGCAGTGACCAGTGAGTACTACTACTACTACTACTACTACTACTACTACTACTACTACTACTGCAGTACCACACCACCGAGACCACTACTACTACTACTACTGTACTAGAGTACTACTACTACTACTACTACTACTACTACTACTACTACTACTACTACTACTACTACTACTACTACTACTACTACTACTGCAGTACCACACCACCGTGAGACCAGTAGTACTACTAGTGAGTACTACTACTACTACTACTACTACTACTACTACTACTACTACTACTACTACTGCAGTACCACACCACCGAGACCAGTGAGTACTACTACTACTACTACTACTACTACTACTACTACTACTACTACTACTACTACTACTACTACTACTACTACTGCAGTACCACTACTACTACTACTACTACTACTACTACTACTACTACTACTACTACTACTACTACTACTACTACTACTACTACTACTACTACTACTACTACTACTACTACTACTGCAGTACCACACCACCGAGACCAGTGAGTACTACTACTACTACTACTACTACTACTACTACTACTACTACTACTACTACTACTACTACTACTACTACTGCAGTACCACACCACCGAGACCAGTGAGTACTACTACTACTACTACTACTACTACTACTACTACTACTACTACTACTACTACTACGCAGTACCACACCATACTACTACTACTACTACTACTACTACTACTACTACTGACCACACCACCGTGAGTACTACTACTACTACTACTACTACTACTACTACTACTACTACTACTACTACTACTACTACTACTACTACTACTGCAGTACCACACCACCAAGTACTACTACTACTGTGAGTACTACTACTACTACTACTACTACTACTACTACTACTACTACTACTACTACTACTACTACTACTACTACTACTACTACTACTACTACTGCAGTACCACACCACCGAGACCAGTGAGTACTACTACTACTACTACTACTACTACTGCAGTAACACACCACTGACACAATTGAGTACTACTAGTACTACTAATACTACTACTACTACTACTACTACTACTACTACTACTACTACTACTACTACTACTACTACTACTACTACTACTACTACTGCAGTAACACACCACTGACACAACTGAGTACTAGTACTACTACTACGACTACAACTGCAATTTCACACCACAGAGACAAGTGAGTACTACTACTACTACAGCAGTATCGTACTACTGAGAAAAGTTAGTACAACTATTACTAATACTACTACTACTGTAGTACCACTCTACTGAGACATGTGAGTACAACTACTACGATTACTACTACTACTCTAATCTCAATTTACATTACATCACCATAACTACTTTGTTTCTACTTCTTCTACTATTACTGCAGTACCACGTCACAGAAACGAGTACAACGTGCAGATTATTATTTCTGAGATATTTTTATGTGAGTGATTTGTGGTTGTGTAGGTTTAATAAAAAGTTTCATGTTGGTTTGTGTCACAGGCTGAAAACACAAACACCTGATGTGGACACAGGACGATGAGTATTATGTAGTATTATTTAGAGTACTGCACTTGTGTACTGTACTCCACTATGTCACTGCTCTGCTCCTTTCAGCACTTCCTGTGTGTTTGCTCTCTGCACTTTACGAGTCTGGCAAACTAATCCATACTAAAACGACTATCGAAATTAGATACTAGGACAAAACAGAACCTTTCCTGAATCACTTTAGAAGTATTTTGAGCTGCATCAGAACAAGTAAAAGAGCACGTAGAGTAGTTTACACCCTTGGACCACTCCACAGTCGACCTGGACCACCGAGGGATTATTATCATCATGGTACAGAATCGGTCTGGAGTATCGAGTCTGTTCCTTAGTATGAAAATCGATTTTGAAATCACTGGTCTGAGCACAGCTTTAAGCGCCGCACTGCAGAAATCTTTGCAGTTCTTCACTTTTAACTTCACAAACGCATGACACAAGCTCCACCCACAGACTCCGCCCCTCTCCTCTGGCGCCCCCTGTCTGCTGAAGCACAACGGTGAATTCTCTTGTATTTCATCTCTTGATTCTGTGTTTATTTTCATTCACTTCCTGTAGTGTGTCAGATTTTACCGAAGGGCGTGGTCTCTGTGATCGGCCCCGCCTCCAGCCCCGCCTCTGGATCCACCGTGAGCCACATCTGCGGAGAGAAAGAGGTCAGTGACACAGAGAAGTAACTGTGTTGTATCATGTTAAAAGTGTTGTGCTTGATTTTTGCTGACTTAAAAATGTGAAAAAATGAATTAGTTGATTACCTGGTCCCTGAAAGGTTGACCAGTTCACCCTGTGTGTGTGTGTGTGTGTGTCCACCCACGATAATTCCGCCATTTATGGACCAACTGTCACCAAATTTGGTACACGGGTCAAGCCCTCGTGCCCGATGCTGCAAAAAATTTAAATAAAATAAAGTTTGGTGAGGATCTGAGGTCATTTGAGGTCACACGGGTCAGTTGAAAGGTCACAACATTATAAAGGATCGGCAATTTCAGCAATTTCTGAACCATCTGCTGCCTAAAATATTCACCCAATCATCACACAAGTTGACACACACATAACCGGGGCACACTGGATGTTACAGGTTGAAACTGGTCAAGGTCACTTGAAGGTCAAGGTAACCAAGGTCAAATATGGACTTTTGGTCATAACTCCGCGAAGGATCGAGCTTGAGCAAATCTCTGGAAAAAAAATAAATAAAAAAGATCTATTTATAATTCTATGCATTTGTAGAGTCAAATATGAATAGTTTTCAAGATAATCAGAAACTGTTTCTTTCTCTTTCAGTGCATGCTGTTAAAATTCTAATTGGAACAAAAATCATTTCATTTCTTGTTTTTCTGGTGATACACAACACACTGATCTACAGTCACACAACTAAGGCTGTGTTCAGACTGCAGCCTGAAGTGACCCAAATCTGATTTTTTTGGCCCCTGTGTGACTTGTATCTGATCTTTTAATGACAGTTTGAACCACACAGATCCGATTTTTTCAAATGTGACCCAGGACACTTGGATATGTGCTCCTGAAACTGATACATATCTGATCTTTTGACATGTGACTTCAGTCTGAACGGTCAAAGTGCATTCATCCACCTACACGTTATCACCAAGTCACAAACGTCACTATTCTGCGCTGAAGTAGGTGAAAATTGTTAATGAACTCCGTGTCACTGAAGTGAAGCACATCACCACTCACCACTCTTGGCTACCGTCTCCACATCCACACGTTCCTTTCAACGGACGTCGCTGCCGCTGTCCCACAAAACACCACGGCCAAAAACCTCGTCCTTCTCCTTCTCAATCTCCTCCTTAAAACAAGTAAGTTGTTCATGTTCTGGCTCCGGTACGAGAGGAACTTTAAAATCTCCAGGTGCTCAATGCTGCGTCCATGTTTGGACAACTTCCATAAACACAGAGCACGCTCACTGCGGTTGACGTCATCGTGTCTCCAGTGCACATGTGGGACACTTTCGGGTTGTTTAACGTTCACACAGGGGATCACATACAAGCTACATTTAATTGGAAATGTGAAACGATCTCGCAAAAACATCAGATTTCACAAAAAAATCTGAATTGAGCGTTAAGCCCTGCAGTCTGAACGTAGCCTTACATACACACAACTCATGAAAAATGACATTTTGGTTCCACACTAGTAAACACAGACATTCTCATGTGTGACCAAGATCACACAAATGTTCATGGGCCTGTACAGATACACACATATCTGGGCTGCGCTCCTCATAAACTGCTTCTGTTCTGATGAACTGACCCCACCAATGCCTCATGGGGACCAGGTTGTTATCTCTGATTGTGCTTGTTTGAAACAGTTTTCAGTGTTCCAAAGTTCTTCCTCACTTACCTTATGTCTTCTGAACATCCTAATTATTTGCCAAGATGAGTTTATAATCAGTTTGTTCATAACTCATAACCAATCCATGTTAACTGTACACCTGCCATTTTGAACACTTTACACTCAAACACTAGAATTCGATGCAGACAGTTACAGTGGATTTATTTTCACCTCAGCAGCTGCTTATACAATAAACTGTATCTGTACTGGGGCAAAACACACTTTGTTTAAATTCATGTTTAAAGGACCTGGAGCCATTTTGTCCATTGTTACGACCAGCTCGTTTGGGGTGAGGGAAGTAACAAAAAATAAAACCAAGATGTAAAATGGAATAAATTAAATAATGTTTAATTAACAGGAATGTAAAGGTAAATTAACAAAAGAGACTAAAATATACAGAAAATAACCTAAACTAAGAAACAAAACTACAGACAACGGGTTTTGTGCCACAAAAGGGGTCACGCAGGCTTACACAATAACGAGTGGTAAAATTAAGGGACACACACTAAACTGAAAACACTAAATTATTTTTAAATAATAATAATATTTTTAAATTCCCCAAATTAAACCATATAAACCCACAAACAGAATCGAGTGACCAAATCAAAAAAAGCACAAAACAGAACTAAACTAAACCACACACAAACACAAAATGGCAGACTGGCCACCAAGACCAGCAGCCGTGTATTTTAATGCCGTGAACACAGTTTTTTTTTTTTTTTTTTTTTTGTAATCGTCTGTTGCTCACTGGCTTTTATAAAAAAAAAAAAAAAAAAAGTCCACCGTGAGTGTTTCTTTAAGTTTGATGTCTTTTCTTTACACTTTTTAACTTTTTTCTGACCACGTGAGAGGCAATGTGTCCGAGACTCCGCGGACTGCGGGTTCCTGCTCCAGTTCAAGGGTCTTTCTCGTTCTTCTCCGTCCAAATCGAGGTGTCCAGTGCGGTTTTCGTCGCTGCGGTCACATAATGCTATTACAGGGTATTCGCGAAGGTCCGAAAGATTTCCTGATATGATCCCGCCCATAACTCAATGAAATCTGATTGGCTCAGACAACTGTCAATCTCAAACTTCGTTCCAGCCACCGAAGGTCCTGCAGGTGTTTGTTTAGTTCAGTGCTGCAGGGGGAGTCACTGATTTACCCAGATACCACTGGAAGAAAAATTGTGATTGGTCCATTTCTCTTCCATTATACTTACATTAACTCTTTGTGTCCCAAGAAATATCAGTCCACATTTCTAAGAATGATCTAGTAATTATTACTAGTGTAGTGTTTATTACTCACTGAATAAAACATATTGAAAAAAATATATTAGTAGTACAAAAATGCATTCAATATATATATATATTTTTGAGCCTTCAGAAACCTTGAAGACTCTAAGGATTTAACTCTGAAAGAAATGCTGTTTGCACAACAAATGTTTGGTTCTTTCATTTACATTTCCAATAAAAGGACGATATACGCTACTTTTTAATTCATTAATTGGTTTTGCGTATAACATGCGATTAATCACAATTAATCACACTCGAACTCATGTGATTAATATTTTTTTTATTTTTGCCCAGCCCTAGTTTTATCTGATAACCAGGAAGTGTGTGCTGCATGCTTTAAACATACTTTACTGCCACAGCCTCTGAACGTTGTGAAAAGTGCTTATAAACTCACTGTGGTGAACAACGACGATACGTAAAGTAAATGTGGAATTAAAAAAAGGTAACACTTTATAATAACTACACCTTATTTAGCCTTAATAAAGCATGAACAAAGACTTAATTAATAATGATTCATACTTAGTAACTACTTAATTACTACCTGAATTAGCACTTAACTTGCACTTAATTCACCTGTGCTGTAAATAGTTACTCATAAGTATTTCTTACTTAATTACTCATGAACTAACCATTTGTGTGTGCATTTGTAAATGTATATTTAAGTACAAATTTGAGCATTTATTAATGATTAGTAAACCATGAGAGAATGATTTACTAGTAATGCATTATTGTTTCTCTGGAATTTGACCAACCTTAACAAATGCTTAATAAACATAATTAGTCTTCACTTTAGAAAAGCTCTCAGAAAGACTTAACTAACAGATAACAGCTGCCTGAATGATCATTGTATTGTGTATTAATAAATCATTCTCTCATGGCTTACTAATCATTAATAAATGCTCAAATGTGAACTTAAATATACATTTGTAAACATGCAAATGGTTAGTTCATGAGTAATTAAGAAATAATTATGAGTAACTATTTACAGCACAGGGGAAGTAAGTGCAAATTAAGGTAGTAATTAAGTAGTTACTAAGCGTGAATCATTATTAATTAAGCCTTTGTTCATGCTTTATTAAGGCTAAATAAGGTGTAGTTATTATAAAGTGTTACTAAAAAAAAAAAGTGTCAGTTTGCTGCAGGTGTTCCAGTCAGTGGGAACAGGTCTTGGAAAAAATCATCAGAACTTTGGACACAACAAAATCCAGACTCTCCAGAAAAGTAAAAGTCACACAAGGAAAAGTAGAGTTTAAAAGGCCTTTTTAAATGGCCAATTAAATGGAACAATCAGAGATATCAACCTGGTCTCCCATGAGGCGTCGGTGGGTGAGTTCATCACCACAGAAGCAGTTTATGAGGAGCCCAGTCCATACCCCGGTTATGTGTGTGCCAACTTGTGTGATGACTGGGTGAATATTTTAGGCCGCAGATGGTTCAGAAATTGCTGAAATTGACGATCCTTTATAATGGCGTGACCTTTCAATTGACCCGTGTGACCTCAAATGACCTCAGATCGTCACCAAACTTTTTTCGGGCGTGGGGGTCGACCCACGTATCAAATTTGGTGACAATCGGTCCATAAACCTTTCGGGGACCAGGTAATAACCAATGGAAAGGACAGATATTAGAGGCATAATAATAATATCAATACGAACAATACATTAACAAATAAATAAATAAATAATAATAATAATAATAATAATAATAATAATAATATGTACTTCTAACATTTATGAAAAAAATAAAAATAAAAATAAAAATCAAAGGACAAATCAAAATCCTCATACCGAACACTTTAAAATGAACTACTAAGAAATCAGAACTCGTAATGACTGAGGAAGAAGTTCTCCGATTTTAATTTAAACGGAATATGAATAAAACCGTTCAAATTGGTTGTGTTTTATGCTGTCGTTCTGTCAGATTCCTCACGTGAAGATTGGTCCAGAGGAGACGCCCAAGCTCCCGTACCTGCGCTTCGCCTCCGTCACTCTGTACCCGAGCAACGAGGACCTGAGTCACGCCCTCTCCTCCATGCTCAGCTCCTTCGGCTCGCCCACCACCAGCCTCATCTGTGCCAAGGCTGAGTGTAAGACCAGGACTGGACCAGGACTGGACCAGGACTGGACCAGGACTAGACTAGGACTGAACCAGAAAAAAAAAAAAAAAAAAAAAAAAAAAAAAAAGAGAACTGAACCAGGACTAGACCAGGATCAAAACAGAAATCGACCTGGTCTGGACTGAGTCAAGCCCTTAAGATCAGAGGATGAGTGGTTCTGATCCGTTTCTCAGACCCAGTGTCAGTGCGTCATCAGGCTCCAGGATATTCTCAGTATTTTCTTTGACAGGAACAATTGAAATGTCCCTGTCAGCTGTAGCTTTAGTTCCTTAAGTGAAATAGAGTTTGTAGAGAAAGTTTCAAAAGTTTCATTTGCAGATAATGACTCATAAAATCCTGTTTCTGCTGCAGTTCCCAGACACATTTGATTTGACCTCCACGTTTCTCTGCACTCGTCTGCTCAGCTTTAGTCAGTGTGCTCTTAACACAAATGCTCAGAGTTACAGTCATATACTTTAGGTTTAGGCTACATTTACACTGAAACATATCACCGTATCACCGTACAGGAAATGATCGGCGTCCAGACATGTCATTTCTGGGTCCGCAATCCTTCTCTATCCACACAGATTTGAGCACATTTGTTTACATTTTACAGATACGAAACTTAAAACCGCATGGTTAATCTGCCTAAACTAAGGCTCAAAAAACAGCTCACTATTGTGCGCTGATGTGATTCAGCTTCTGTCGGACTAAACGACACGACTCAGTGGAATATGAGTGTTCTTTCTGTGGCAGAGGGGTGTTCTGCTGATGGTGAGTCTGTTCTGTGTTTCTGTCAGGTTGGAGATGGACCATCTTAAACTTTTCAGAGATTATACGTCTGCAGGTCGTACACACAGATCGTATATATTAGGGTGACCAAATGTCCGTTTTTCCCCAGACATGTCCGTTAGACCTGTCCTGTTTTTTTTTTTTTTTTTTTTTTTAAGTGATGGAAATGTCTGGGTTTTCATTACCGTTCATTGGGCCATTAAATTGAGCATCTCTCATGCAACATACCAAAGCACAAATGCACATTTAACAATGACTTGAACAAGAAATTCCCTGTTTTTCATTCGGGACAAGTGGAGGCCATGTGTACGGTTTGCGAGGTGAGAGTAGCTCAATGACAAGGCCCCATCCCACACTCCCGGTAAGGTGTCCGGGTTTTCACGGAAATATGGTCATTCTTGTCTATATGAATGGACATATATTCTAGCCTTTTAGTGTTTTGGTGGTGAATTACTTCACGGTGCACAGAACTACATCAGAATATCAGGTTTTCAAGCATCCACACAGTGCTGGATCAGATCTGGACTCAGATGAATTTTGAAGTTGACAGCACCAGATCGTTCAGTCTCTGGAGGCGTTTTCATTTGGATTAGTGTGAACGAACACTGCACCCACAATGAAAATGACTCCAATACACACTAGTGTGGACGGAGCGTTAGAGTCACACACATGACTGCATATTAGATGAAGTTTGTCTTTGTGTTGTCGTAGTAACCAGTGTTTGTGCAGAAGCTTTAAACACTAAATCCACTGGTTTCTCCACCGAACTGTGAATATGGAGTTTCAGCTTCATGATCAAACCTTCGTAGTGATTTGTTTGTATATTTAGTGATTTCCATTTTCATTCCATTTATTTATTTGTTTGAGCCAAGTACAACAAAATTCAACAATTTATAGAGTCCTAAACCAATTGTTTTACATAATCAAGTGATTCACACTTTTTTTTTTTTTAATAACACCTTTGGAGTGTTTACCTGTCATTATGCAGAAATATACACACATATATACAAAAACATATCCACACACACACATACATACATAATTATACATGTACACATATATGTACACACACATGTACACACACATGTACACACACTTGTACACACACTATGTACACACATATGTACACACATACATATACGCATTATAGATATCAGGACATATACTCAATATAAATGTTTATACACATATACATAACACACATATATATACACATGCAGAAACGTGTTTTCGTTAATAGTCGTACAAACTAATAATAATATTATCGTAGGCACAAAGTTGATCATTTATGATCGTATAAAATAAACAGTAATGAGGATGAAAAATGTAAGGATTTTTTTTGTTTTCATTTCATACAAACTAATAATAGTTTAGTGAGTACATCTGCAGCTTTCGGGTCAAAGAAACTGGAGGCAACGGTTTGTGCTGTCAACAGTGGCCTCTGTCATTGTAAGTACTATGTGACATCGCTCAGGACTGCCCTGATCACAGACAGGTGTTTCTGATACAAACACCTGTCTGCAGGGGCGGAGTTTGAAGCATAGATGCCTGTTAGACCAATCACAGTGCTCCTTATACCTCCAGACCCGCCCCTCCCCCCTTTATTACTCCAGGTACTACAGATCTATTGAAATGTGACTGTGTTCAGAGTTTAGGTGTTTAGTCCCACTTGAACCTGGAGAATCACAGCCCAGACCCCCAGATGCCCCGCCTCACACGTGTCACTTCCTGTGTCCTGTCAGGCCTGCTGCGATTGGAGGAGCTGGTGCGGCACTTCCTGATCTCCCGGGAAACGCTGTCGGTGCGGATGCTGGACGAGAGCCAGGACCCCACCCCTCTGCTCAAAGAGATCAGAGACGACAAAGTGGCCACCATCATAATCGACGCCAACGCTTCTATGTCCTACAGCATCTTAAAAAAGGTACTGCAGCCTCACACTCTGTACACTGTCCCACGCCGTCCTACACATTTACACACCTGCATCTCCTGTCCTACAATATCTCTGGAATGACTGGGCCTCTCCACATGAAACTAATACTGGCACAAAGTTCAATGTCAATGATTCTGTCACAACAGCTTCAGAAAGTGCCATTACTCAACTCCAAACACTTTAATACAAAAGATGAATGTGAGTTTGTGGAACTGATCCCAAATGAAGAATGAGAAGGTGAAACATTTGTACGTCTGAAGTTTGGAGATTTCTTTCAAAAACTGTGAATCTGTCCCTGCCCTCATTAAACAGAACTGAATTTATACTGTCAATTTTTATTTATTTTATTTTATTTTTGATTTTTTTGTTTAAAATACAATAGATGTAGTAATAGTCTGTAGAGGGAGACCACATGAAACCATATCTGAACCAAGACTACATCAGGACTAGACCAGGACTAGACCAGGACTAAAACAGGAGTTAATCAGGTCAAGGACTAAACCAGAACTTTAACCAGAACTTAAACCAGGATGAGAACTAATAAACCAAGATTAAACCAGGCCTGGTCTAAACCAGGACTTAACCATGACTTAACCAGAACCAAGACTAACTCATGACTAAAACTAACAAACCAGGACTAAACCTGGACAAAACTGAGACTAGACCAGGATAAACCAAGACCATATCAAGAGTAAAACCAGGATGTACACCAGGACTAAAGTGATCCCAGGCTGAACCAAGACTAAACCAAGACTAAACCAAGAGTAAACCAAGACTAAACCAAGACTAAACCAAGACTAAACCAAGACTAAACCAAGACTAAACCAAGACTAAACCAAGACTAAACCAAGACTAAACCAAGACTAAACCAAGACTAAACCAAGACTAAACCAAGACTAAACCAAGAGTAAACCAAGACTAAACCAAGACTAAACCAAGACTAAACCAAAAAACCAATAAACCAAGACTAAACCAAAGAGATTAAACCAAGACTGAAAACCAAGAACTAAACCAAGGACTAAAGTGAACCAAGACTAAAACAAAGACTAAATCAGTACTAAACCAGGAGTAAAGACTAAATCAGACCTGGAAATAATAAACCAAGACTAAATCAGGACTAAATCCAGGACAAACCAGAGAGTAAACCAGGACTGAAGACTAAACAGGCCTAAATAAAAAAAAAAAACAGGACTAAACAGGACAAATCAGGACTAAACCAGGACTAAACCAGGACTAAACAGAACTAAACCAGACTAAAGTAACCAAGACTAAACCAAAAAATAAAATAAACCAAGACTAAACAAGGACTAAATCAGACAAAAACCAGGACAAAACCAGGACTAAGACTAAATCAGGCCTGGAAATAAAAAATAAAAAAAAAACAGGACTAAATCCAGGACTAAACCAGGACTAAACCAGAACTAAACCAAGACTAAAGTGAAACCAAGACTAAATAAAAAAAAATAAACCAAGACTAAACCAGGACTAAATCCAAGGACTAAAGACTAAATCAGGCCTAAATAATAAACCAGGACTAAACAGGACAAATCAGGAACTAAACCAGGACTAAAGTGAACCAAGACTAAACCAAAAAAATAAACCAAGACTAAACCAGGACTAAACCAGGATTAATCCAGGACTAAATCAGGCCTGGAAATAATAAACCAGGACTAAACAAGCCAACTTTGTCCAATGAATATGTATGATTTGGAATATTGTGAGTGCAGGCGCATGTGGGTAAAGCAGTTAAACTGCGTCTCCTCGGGCTCAGTCTCACACAGACTCAGACTCTGCTCTCGCTGCATCTCTCTTCACATGTGACGCTTTGTTTTTCCTGTAAATCCTGGATGTTCTGCCGCTAAAAGTCGGAGGATCTGTTCTCCTGTCTGTGCCTGGATTTGTGAGCTCCACTTTTCGACGCGGTTTGTTTTTCAGATTCTAGACTACGATGAAGCCACACTCCCTCACGGGGGCGAGAGGCAGATGTACTTCATTACATTGCTCCTCATGAGAAATATCCACAGACTGTAGGAAGAAGTGGACTGAGGGAGGGTGACGACGCCCACAGAGTTCAGCTCAGTCACATGTAGCTCAATTTTGGGCCGAGTTCCATAATTGAAATTCCAAGTTTCAGTCATGAGAGGCTTGTGGAGGTAACGTCCCTTTGACCGTTGGTTTGGCGAGGAGCGAGCGCTTAGCGACGCTGTCAATCAAACCTGTTACCAACAATATCAACATCAGGACTAAACCAAGACTAAACCAGGACTGAAACAGGAGTTAATCAGGTCTTGACAAGGACTAAACCAGGACTTAACCAGAACTTCAACCAGGAGTAAACCAAGACTAGAACTAATAAATCAAGTCTAAACGAGGCCTGGTCTAAACCAGAACGTAACTATGATGTAATCAGAACCAAACCAGGACTAAACCAAGACTAAACCAGGACATAAAAAGAACCAAACCAGGACTAAACTAAGACCATACCAAGACTAAAACCAGGACTAAAGTGAACCAAGACTAAACCAATACTAAACCAAGACTAAACCAGGAATAAACCAGGACTAAACCAAGAACCAATAAACCAGGACTAATCCAGAACTTAAACCAAGACTAAACCAGAACAAAACTATGACTAAACCAAAACTAAACCAAGATTAAACCAAGACTAAACCAGGATTAATCCAAGACTAAACCAGGACTGAATCAAGACTACACCAGGTCTAAACCAAGAGCATACCAAGACTAAAACCAGAACTAAACCAGGACTAAACCGAGACTAAACCAGGATTTAAAAAGAGCCAAACCAGGACTAAACCAAGACCATACCAAGACTAAAACCAGGACTACGCCAGGACTAGAGTGAACCAGGATTAAACCAAGAATAAACCAGGACTAATCCAGAACTAAACCAAGACTAAACTAGAACTAAACCAAAACTAAACCAGGATTAAACCAGGACTAGAGATAAACCTAATAAACCTTATAAACCTAAACCTAATAAATGTCACACTGTGGAACATTCCAGGCAAACAAATGACATCTCCATAGAAACAAGCAGGTGCTGGACCTCCAACCAAAAAGTTACACAGTTCACTTCTAAGGAAATGGTAGTGATGTGGTCTGAAAACCAGATTTCAGACGGATCGTACGGATAGCGTCAGAAGGGCAACGCAACGCCCAACGAGCATGTGCTGATTTTTACATCTTTGTACCTTTCTGTCAGTTTTGTTTCATGTGGATTGGTCCATCACGTCAGAGATATGAACCATAAACCAGGTCCTAACACGTGTCTGACTCCTCCAGCTCCGGGTGATACATTCTATTGATTTGAAACGAGCCGGTCTCAGCGCAGATTAATCCTGCTCCTCGTAAACTCTGAGCTGATTTTAATGTGAAGAACGACGCCATCAATCTGAACAGCTGAAGGAGGCGGAATTTACCGAACAGCCGAAGACCCCATGGGGACACGAGGGCATCTGCCACTTTTTTTTTAAATTCTGAATTAAACAGTTTGGAATTAAAATAATCTCCTTCAAGTTTACATGGAAAGAATCATTCTGAATCGAGGTTTACATGGAAAACACTTAATCAACTTTGCAGAAAGAACAAAAATGTGGCTGTTTGCTGCAGGTGTTCCAAGCAGTGGGAGAAGGTAGAGGGTGCTCTTGGAAAAAAGGATCAAAACTAAAACACAACAGACTCCAGGCGCTCCAAAGAAGTAGAAAAAGTAAAAAATCGCATGAGGAAAAATGTAGTTAAAAGGCCTTTATTTGAATGGCCAAAGCCAATATGTCTCGACCTTAACTGGTCTTCATCAGGGCTTAGTAGCTTTATTTAATTCTGTTCAGCGTCTGGGAGTGGGGAAGGTTCTGATTGGACAGAGACACCAACATATTTACTTTCAGCTGCTCCTGGCTTTTTCTGACATCTCGGTTTGTCGTTACTCCACGGACACAAACACGATCCAAACTTTTTCCGCGGTGGTTCTGATGATAATTGTGCAGCAGTTGGAGAATTGTCTCATCACGCTTTACGTCTGTCGGCTGAGGAGGAGAAGGGAAGAGCGTCGGAGAAGGAGGAAGAAGACAAACTGAGTGTGAGGCTGCTCTACTTCAGCCCACTCCCACATCCTGCTCACAAATCCAAAAAAAAAAACGTGGATGAAGAAGGACGACCCAAGGAGCATGCGCTGAATGACCAGAATTATTTTTAAGAAGAATAAACCTTTACATGATCGAGGAATAAATTCATTTGGCTTTAAAATCGGAATAAACCACCCACTTACTTCCAAATAATCATTTTCAATAGGAATTAAGTGTTTACATGGTCTTTTTAAACCTAGTTAAAGTTAAAGCTCTCATGTAAACGTGGTAATTGTCTTGTGTGTTTGTGTTCAGGCGAAGGAGCTGGGCATGATGTCGGCCTTCTACAAGTACATCCTCACCACCATGGTAAGACCTGCTGCTCTACCAGTGTTGGGGAGTAACAGATTACATGTACCAGAGTTACGTAATCAGAGTACAAATTATGAGTAATTGTATTCAGTTACAGTTACTGTTTCAGTGAGTGGTAATTAGATTACAGTTACTTGGTTGAAATAAATGGATTACAAAAAGGTATTTTCCTGTTTTCACATTTTGGGCGATATCCCTTTTTTTTTTTTTTTTGGTAATTCCACTCATTGCCAGACACTAAACCAGGTCTAAACCAGGTCTAAACCAGGTTTAAACCAGGTCTACACCCAGATCCAAACCAGGTCTAAACGTGGTCTAAACCAGGTCTAAACCAGGTTTAAACTAGGTCTAAACTAGGCCCAAACCAGGTCTAAACGTGGTGTAAACAGGTCTAAACCAGGACTAAAACCAGGTCTAAACTATGTCTCAAACAGGATTTAACAGGACTAAATCCTGCTGTGTGGACGTGTCTGCTCATCTTCTATCAATAATATTTTTAATTTGGTTCAGTAAAGTCTGGGCATTTAATTTTCTTTTAGCAGACAAAACATCTTATGTTACAATTTCCTCATCTTTGCTTCTCTACAGCAAATCAAAAAGTAATCCAAAGTATTCAGATTACGTTACTCACTTGAAGTAATTTAATGGTTTACATTACAAACTACATTTTGGTGTATGTAATCTGTAATCTGTAGGGGAGTACATTTTAAAAGTCACCTTCCCAACACTGTCCTCTACACAGTACACCACACTCGGGTACTTTTACTGCTAGAAGTTTATATATTATTAGGCATATTTGCCGTTTTGATTCATTCACATGTTTGAGTAAAGCTTTATTATCAATCTGTCTACGTCTCCACAGCTCAGAATGCCCTGTTCCACCTCGTGATGTCATGAAGCTGTAGTTTTCAAGTGAACAGCTGCAGAACTTTTACTTTAGTTCAATAGAGATCAATTCTAGAGCTGAATTCATCCATACAATTCTTTTTAAAACACTTCCTGTACTAGGATGAGTATTTTCAGTTTGAGAGAAGAACTCTAGATCTAAATGTGCAGGGTTTGTGTGTTAAACATGTGAGAATGAAATAAAACACAACTCAAGGTCTGTTTGTGAAGAGGAAACTACATTAGATCAGAAAATAGCATAACATGTACTGACACTATCTGGCAGAAAAAAAAAGACTACAAACCAAATAAATAATTAACAATGGAACAAAGGGATTATGAAAGCAAAGGAAGAGAAGGAGAAGGAACGATAAAACGATCATTATCATTAATTACAAGAATAAGTATTTGTTTTTTTTTATTTATTTATTTTGTTTTCCCTCCCACCCTTACCCTCTTACATCTCTTCTGTTTTTATAACTTGCCTACTCACACACACACACACATGCACACACTCACACACACACACACACACACACACATTAAAAATATCAAAAGAACAGAAGCCATTCTTATCGTTTTGACAACCCTTCAACCATTGATATATGTTCTTCGTGTTCCGTCAAGTCAAAATGTCTAATGTTTTTCACTGTTTGTACTGTCTCTAAAAAAAAAAAAAACTAAAAAGTGCCATTAGACCTTTTTATCTTCATGGAGACCAAAACAGATCAAGTTACAGGTCAGATCTGTGGAGAGGCGACCCTGTTCAGTTGTTTTGTCTAGGTATTTTTGAGCTATAAAATCACCTGTAATTGAATAAATGTAAAGCATATTGTTTTTCAATATAAAACCAAAAATAAGAAAATGAAAAAAAAAACAACAGTTTTCTTCATTATTTGTCTCCAAAACCAAAATGAAAAAACAAAACAAAACAAAAAAACGCATAATGATTTGTTTTTTCGGTTTTCAATTTTGTGTTTAAATGAAGAATGGAAAAAACGGTTTCCCGTTTACATGATTTCCGTGACTGCGATGTTGGACTTTTTCACCGCATATGGACAGGACCAGACTGGAACAAGACCAGGACTGAGACCAAGACCAGACCGGGACTAGACCGGGACCAGACCGAGACTGAGACCAGAGCAGGACAAGACCGGGACCAGACTGGGACCAGACCAAGATCAGACTGAGACTGAGCCCAGACCAGGACCAGACCGGGACCAGACCGGGACCAGACCGGGACCAGACCGGGACCAGACCGGGACCAGAGTGGGACCAGAGCGGGACTAAGACCTGGACCAGACTGGGACCAGACTAGAGGCTCAGAGCCCACGTCAGGGCCGGAGCTTGAAGCTGAGGCTCGGACCCTGCGGAGGCTCGGAGTCAAAGCTCGGAGTCCACTCTGGTTCCGCTCAGGTCCTGGACCTGGATCAGTCCTGGTTCAGTCCGTACGTGGTGCAAAAGTCCGACATCGCAGTCACAGAAGTCATGTAAATGGGAAACAGCCGTTATAGTTTTTTCCATTCTTCATTTAAACACAAAATCGAAAACTGAAAAAATGAATCATTATCTGTTTTTTCATTTTGGTTTTGGGGACAAATAATGAAGAATTTTTTTATTTTATTTTTGGTTTTATATTGAAAAACAAATGAACAAATGATACACAGATTCTGTTTAATGTCACACTGTGGAACATTCCAGGCAGAGCACTGACATCTCCATAGAAACAAGCAGGTGATGGACCCCTAACCGAAAAGCTCCAGAGTGCACCTTTAATGTAATGTCTTTGGTTTAAATTCAGAAGAGTCTTTGGTGAGCACGTTTACTCTTTGGAGTCTTTTTGTGATTTCTTTGTCTCCTCACAGTCGACAGTCTGCCCACAGCGCACTCACATTTTGACACGAAAAACTGCTTTTACAACTCACTGTACTTCAAGAACAATCTGATAAATCGTCGTCTGTTTCACAATGGGGAAGTTTTAGTGTTGCAACGCAAAGTTCAAGTAATCTCCTGTCGGGCATGTACAGTGCAGCGTTTGGACGAGTACGTGTGTGTGTTTCAGATGATGTCAGCACATTCTGTTGGACGATACTTAACTGATACTTGCCCACATTCCCTGAGGGTGTGACGCTAACTGTAAGCACTACTCTGTCTGCATTTCTCAGCACATTTCTCTGATCTGGCCAAGATTTTCAAACTTAAATCAGGTTATTCATCTTGTTTTTAGATTTATTATTGACTTAATAGTTCTGAGATACTTCGTTCTAGTTTAGAGGTTAATTATTTAACTATAGATTATATAACTATAGATTATTTTAAGTCGTCAAGTAAAATTATCTTGCTGCATGGATCATTTCACTACTTTCTAGTCAAGTGTTTATATCTGTAATTTTGTCCAAGCTTTTTTGCAGTGTAGACTTTAATCTGAGCTTTGTTTTTCAACAGTTTGATCATAAAAAAATTGACTTGGCTGAACTACAACAGATGAGATGATTTGTGCTTTTAGACAAGTCACTCTCGAATAACATTAGAGTCACAAGCCAGTGTTGCCAGACTGGATTTAGTGAAAAAACAAAAAAAACACCCAACAACATTTTGTCACAGAAAACATTTAATATTTGAATAAACGTATGTCATCCACTGATGGGCTTGTTAAATGTAGAAGAGCATTTTCATTTATCACAGAAAAAAGGCATTTAATATTTAAATACAAATCTTGTAGCTTATTTAATCTGTAGGCTTAAAAAAAAAAAATAAAAAATATTGCCAGAATTGAGAAAACATGTTGTGTAAAAGCTTTAGTAAAACATAGAACAGTGTTTTCATCATGCATTAAATATCATCAATGGTCTAATAAAACCTCAACTTCTGCAGGAACATCTGCAAACAAAAACCTGCCTCCTCATACAGCGAAGAACTGAATGTGTGCACAGCCCGAACCTTCATACGACTGGACAGAAGTGAAAGTCCCAGACGGTTCCTCGTGTTATTGTGTTATTGTGCATCTCATTGATTGGTGTGAAAATAAAAAAAAATGCCCAAACTTGTTGAAAATCACTCAAATATGTTCTGTCTGCCTCAGGCTTCCCCTCCCCACCCGACGTAGTCAAAAGAAGCCCAGCTGGGAGAGCACCCACCCAATCTGGCAACACTGTCAAATGTGATCTTTAAGTCCATTTTTTTTTTTAGACTTTTCAGATTATCTTAAAGCTTTTTATGTTTTTTTTTTTTTTTTTCTTCATTGTGTCGCCATGGTAACTACTGAACATTCTACCAATAGAGACCCATGTAGAACACCCCCAGCGTGACGTCACTTGGTGCAGGTATAACACCCTGAATCCTTTAAAAAAACAAAGGAGTTGATCTGGACTTTAGGAAGAACAGCTGCTCACCCTCCTCTTCATCAGGGGCACAGGAGTGGAGCTGCTGTCCTCCTGGAAACATCTGGATCTGCATCACTGACGGCCTCACCTGCTCCACTAATGCGGCCAGCACTGTGAAGAAGGCCCACCCACCCTGGACCCTTTGAGGAAACTCATGGCTGCTGGACTAGGACCCAGGCCCCTCATCTCTTTTTACACATGTGGAGAGTGTGTGGAGTCAGTCCATCACAGTGTGGTCCAGCCTCTGCTCAGCCCAGGACAGGACACATCTACAGCGTGTGGTCAGAGCGGAGGAGAAGATCACTGGATGTGACTTTATGCCCATCAGTGACATTTACGAGGAGCTCTGCAGGAGACGCTTCTCCGGGATCAAGGGGGAGCCTCCCACCACCTGTTTGTCCCTCTGCACTCTGGGAGGAGACTGAGGAGCATCAAAGCCAAAGCCAGAACATCTCAGCTGAACTCCAGCTTCTTTCCTGAGGCTGTCAGACGTTTGAACAGGACACACAGACTTCCTGCTCAGGCTGCTTCGATCTCTGTCCACTGGGACTGAGAAATGCTTTTAATCTACATTTTAATATTATTTCTTCTTTTTCTTTTTCTTCCTCTTCTTCTTCTTCTTCTTCTTCTTCTTCACACGTCACATCTTGAGTATGACGTCACATCTTGAGTATGACGTCACATCTTGAGTATGACGTCACATCTTGAGTATGACGTCACATCTGGAAA